AAGAAGCTGTCAAAGTTAGAGGTGGAAGAGCTCTCAATATCACGTTTTAGACACCTTGCTTAGTCAAGAGATCATAATATTCGTCTATAATACTTTCAAATTTAGACTGCATATCCGTACTCATAGTCGCAAGCACTTAAGAAGGAGTAAAATCAAAATCAATTGTCCAGACACTGCTTTTGAACACGGAAACGCAAAACAATCACGAATTGCCCTAATTAAAGTACCTTTGGATTTAAACCAGCAAGTTGTCCCACAGAATTAGACATACATTGATGTAAAAAATGCAATCGCCTAAACGGAACGGATGAAGTAGTATGAATTTATTTAACAGATTTTTATACCCAAGTAATGGAACCTACCTGAACTGCCTCTCGGAAATGGGGCGAACAATGCCAACAGAACCATCAAGAGAAGCCCACACACAGGTTTGTTGCTGTGTGATGCTTTTTACATCAAGTGGTGAAACCGAGAACAACGATGTATGCCCTGAAAATAAGCAGCAATTATGAAGAAACGTTGATCATGATGCCGCCCACCTTTAACTCTAAGCCACGCATTCACATTTGTACCAACATTCAAAACCCCTCTCAGTACAAGACGCTCACCACCATTAGATTCCTGCGTCTCGGGCATATAATTGAATAAACAGATATTACCGGCTTCGTCCGACATAAGAAAGGCCAGATGGCTGTGAAAAAATAATAGAATAAAAAATCATCCTAGATAGCTATCTAATTGAAAGGATACCTATTATCTACAAGAAACTGTGCAGCCATGGGTGAAGGCACATCTGTCCGATCGTCTCGTGATGCAACCGATAGCGCTTTGAACTGCTCCTAAATGACCAACACAATTTCCATCAGCACTAGAAGCATCAAACTACTTACCTGGAAACGAATTAACGACATCGAATCATGCATATCACAGGCAATTGCAAGATTGCGCATAGAAATTAGAGAATGTACATAATAATGCATGTCCAAGAAGGAAATGCCTTGTAGATCGTTGTCTCG